TACCTCCTTTAAAAACCATACCTATTACAATGATTCTAAACTTCGAACATTGAAACGTACTGCTCGCAGACTAGGCCTAGCCTATAGAAAACATCGTACCCCTGGAATGCTGAGCCTCTTCCAAACTGCCCTTGCTGCTGCCAGAGAGCGTATGACAGAGCTGCAGCTGACTAGGAACAATTGTCAATGGTCTCAATGCTCACACCCCACTTAGCCGGGCATGGAGGGACATAAATAGAATTAAGGGTAACAGAACTGTGCAGATCGCACACCCTCATCCCTTACATAAGGCGAATGAGTTAGTATCTGGGCTGCTACATCTAGATGTGACAATCTTCCCAGTACCACACAGGCAAAATTAAATGACAAATATGATGCAAGCGAAAGACTTGTTTTATGCTCAGCAAGGAAGATGACTAACATTCCTTTCACTAATTATGAACTTGATGCAGCACTAAGGGCAACTCCACGTCGCCTGGTGAGGATGGTATTACTTACAACATACTCAGATTGCTGTGTCGAGTACCAGGTAATCCAATACTTGAATTATATAACGAGTTATGTCACTAGGGAGCTCCCTCAATCTTGGACCAACAGCCTCATTATTCCAGTTCCTAAGCCCAATCAACAAAATGCATTTCGCCCAATATCTGTTACTAGCTGTTTGTGTAAAACATTCGAGAGGATGATTCTTAATCGTCTCATGTACAGAATCAAAAAATTTTTGACTCCCCGGTTGCATGGCTTCATGCATGGAAGGAGTGTGCATCATTGCATTACCACCTTTCTCACTCTGCACACTGACAGCTCATGCACCACTTTCCTTGACCTAAAATCTGCTGTGAATGTAGCCAACCGACATGTAATCATTAGTGAACTTGCCAGAATGGATGTTGGAGGATGGCTTCTCCGCTGGATTAAAGGCTACCTGTCCAACAGAAAATCATCTGTGTTGTTCCAGGGACATAGAAGTGTAACTAAAGACTTTGAATTAAGAACCCCACAGGGAGGTGTGCTCGGTCCTACTCTTCAGTATTTTAATTAATGCCTTAATGCTACCTAGCCAGCCCCATCATTATATGATTAGTTTTGCTGATGATATAATGATTCACACCACTGGATTCTCCAACACCCAAAACATTCTTAATCATGTACTAGCCTCGTGTCAGGACCTGGGGTTGATAATCTCTACTGATAAAACAAAGATACTCAACAGGCGTCCTCCTCGACAGAGAGGCACAGTTCGTCAGATCCAATTGCATGATGGGTCTCTTCTAGAATATGTAAGCAGACACAGGTATCTAGGCTTTGAGGTTCCACTACTTGGACCTGTTGTAACAAGACTTTGTCGCCAATACAAAGAAAGGCTGAGAGCACTTAGAGTTGTGGCAGGTTTTCATCCCAGGTATGGTGCTAATGTTAAAATTGTGAAAATTATGTATCTTGTTTATATTACATCATTTGTTGATTATGCTGCGCCACTACTTGCTCTTGTGTCTGACTGGAAGCTTGGAGGGCTGGAAAAACTGCAGAACGAAGGATGCCCTCGTACTGCCAAAATTTTAAATATGCAAAAAACTTGATATTCCAAGCATCAGAGATCGTGTTACTGAAAGAAATATCCTAATTGGGGTCAATATGCTCAGGCAAGCCCATTCAAACCCCTGCACAGAAGCCCTCCAAACTTTCCTCAGCACTGGTGAACACTCCTCCAGATGGATCGAAAAGACTGGAACCGACCTCCGCAAGAATCAGATACATGATCTATGTCAAGTAAGGCAACAGCGGCACTTCTCCGCTCCATGGGATATTACCCCATTCCAAACTACTATTCCTCCATTTACCCCCAAACTACTTCTTAAATCACAACCAAAGCTTCGCCTTGAAGCCAAACATGATGCCTTAAGCTGTACTGATAACTTAGTCACACAGTACACACTCGCAAATTATTTACGTTGATGGTTCTGTATACTAAGCCATTGGTGCAGCTGGTAGTGCTGCTGTTGTCGTACAGAGTGATGGCTCTTACAGAAATTGGAGCACGCATCAATAACTGGGCCTCTACCCTTTAGACACAACTGTTTGCCATACTCCTTGCACTCAAATGCGTCCATGTATGTAAGGTTGACACTTTAATTGTAACTGATTCTCTGTCATCCATAAATGATCTCAACTCATTAAGTATAAATTGTGGAATGTTTGTGTTAGACACCAGACACAAGTATGGTAGGATTGTGGACAGTGGAGTCAGAGTGCACATGCTGTGGATTCCATCTCACATTGGTCTTCAGATGCAGCTGTGTGCTTTCTAAAAGGGGGTAGATTACAATCTTGGCTTGTCAGTTAGCAGTTTGAGAATACGAAAAGAACTTCAACTTAATTTTATTGACTTAAGAATCAGGGAGACTGACACAAGTTAGTCCATCTACCATCATTCCATCATGCAGGAGGAGCCACATGTCTATGGTACATCCAACAAGATAATCAGACTCTTGGATGTCACTACCGCCCGGCTCCGGCTGGGTTACAAGTATCTTTGGCAGGTTAAATCACCACCACCAGATGTAGACCAAACGAAATGTAAACTTTACCAGATGGACTATTGTCATACCTTGCGTCATTATGTACTGGAGTGCGTCACACCCTGCGTCGTTATGTACCGGAGTGCGATAAAATTAACGAATTTACAGACAACTCACTCAGAAATGTTCAAAATATGCCAGAGTATTTTATCCACAGTGGTATATTACAAACCATTCTGGGGAAATACCCTGACTTTCCTCCCTGTAAATAAAGCATTACCATCTGTGTGTGTGTGTGTGTGTGTGTGTGTGTGTGTGTGTGTGTGTGTGACTCAACAATCAATATTTGCACCAATAACTCATCACAGTTGTGACCGGATGTGGACGTGTGAATTGCTCGTTACTCTATAATTTGTTCATGATTGTAGCCATGTATAAACGTAAGTAAGTAAATTTACTTACACGATTCATTACCTTTGTAGCTTCTTCAGTTATCAAAACTTTGGGGTCCAATCCCTGGACCCACTATGTGCCTCTATAATCTGTAAATACCTTTGTAACTTGTCATTGTGATCAGATCTACCTGGAGTTCATTACCTTCGTAACTTGCTCTTCTATCAAAACTCTGGGTCGGTCCCTGGACCCATTATGTACCTCTGTAATCTTTTGACTACCACCCACAGGATGGTTATGGGGTGCATAATAAACATATCAAACTAGCTTTGCTGACGACACGACTTGTCATCTCCCACCCAAATTTTTCCTCCCTCAACACCACTGTTAACGAAGAGCTAAAAAAAATAACATGGATGACAGCCAATAAACTCATGCTTAACACTGACAAAACCTTCTATATTATGTTTGGTAGCAGAGCAAGTATTGCACAACTTAACATTAAGATCGACAACACTCTTAATGCTAAACATAATGAGGGCAAATCCTGACAGCAACCTGAATTTCAGTTCCCATATCCAACACACAACCAAAAAAGTATCCAAAACGGTTGGGATCCTCTCCAAGATACGTTACTTCGTACCACAATCAGCCCTACTTATTCACTTATCTATCCCTACCTAACCTATGCTATTTGTGCCTGGGGATCAAATGCAGCAACACACCTAAAGCCAATAATAACCCAACAAAAAGTCGCAGGAAGAATAATCATGCAATCCAATCCCAGGCAACACCCCCCCCCCCTCCACTCTTGAAAGATCTAAACTTACTGTACAGAACATCCACAGTTACTACTGTGCAACCTACATTTACAGAATCATAAATTCCAATATTAACCCTGAACTAAAACTTTCTTGATAGTTGTGACAGGACTCGCAGGCACAATACCAGGCAAAAATCTCTGACATTCCCCGTGTCTGGCTAAATCTATACAAACGTTCAGTGTACATTAAAGGGCCTAAAATCTGGCACTCCCTACCTGAAAACTATAGAACTGCAGACTCAGCCACCATATTCAAAACTACCGTCAAAAAAAATTTCATCTCCCTATCACCCCACCATCAACTGACTACATGAAAGCCACCCATTCACACACACACACACACACACACACATACACACATACATCCTCCTCTTGACCCAAATGGCTCTCTGAACCATTCATCTACATTCCTGCCTGACACAGCAACATATTGGGATCTTAATACAGGGAATTCTTCACTTGCCTAACCCTTGGGCATGACCTACTTCCACATTCGTCAAATGTGACACCACCTAAGACTGCTGCACCTCTCCTGCCTACAGTACATAAGCTACTTCTTCACCCCCCTGCTGTATTCTTTTCAAGATTGATGGACTGATTAAATCGACTCAAGGCTGTTCTTCACCATTCTCCTTAGTATGGACTGATGAAGCCACTGTGTGGCGAAACGTTTCCTCAATAAAGATACCCAAGTGTTGCACACGTGTCTAATTTATCGACTATAAACATGAAATTGCCTAATAACTCAAGGTGGTCATAAGTTTACCTATGTATCATGCCGAGACAAAACCATTCTCATTACTAATTTTGCAAATTGTTATATTCTTAAATATTCTGAACTGCCTCACTATTGTACGTAATTCCATTTAATCATTTGTAATTTACAATATAGAATAAGAATTATTAGTCTGCCTGAAATGCCTAGGCTTGCTAGGCATGCTAGTGACCTTTGCAACTGTTTTATATATAAACCAGTTACTGTGATCTTTGGTATAAACCTTGGTGATAAATACCGACAAGTTGGTTTAGAAAGACACGTAAGCAAACACTATAACATATTTATTAGAAAACGTTTCGGTCCTGGGACCTTGATCACTTGATCAAGGTTCCAGGACCGAAACGTTGCTTACGTGTCTTTCTAAGCTATTGTGATCTTCAAAGAGAAATAAGCATTTCAATTTCAATGATGATGAAGGTAGCTTCTACTCTTAGCATCAAGGTCCTTGGAGGGTGTAACAATGATAGCCACATTTGCTTCACAGATCGGATGCTGCGGCGGATATTCTGCTGACGATTACATCAACATACACATGCCCATCCCGGATACCTGTCGTGACCAGGTGAGTACTACTGAAAGAAAAGTGTACCACGGGCGGGGCTTGAACCCGCGATCAGAGAGTCAGACCGATGAGGAATGATTTCATGCGTCATGAGTACTACTGGTAATGCAGACACAAGGATCTCGGTGCAAATAAGTCACTTTGACTTCTTTTTGGATTATGTTAGGTAATCTACACATATGCTGCTATGTATGATAACCTATGTAGCTGTATTTGTGTGTACCTATACCTGGATAAACGTGCACAACGTTTGTCACAGTGGGACTTTACCACTGTGACTGATAAGTGAAACACACGAGCGGTATTTAGTACAGTTGTGATAAACGGTTTTGAAAACCGACAAGTTGAAGATTGAGACACTTATGCAACATATGGGAATCTTTATTGAAAGAAACACATCGACTCCAGTCTGAGGGACTAATTACCTCAAACTCCTCCTCTCCTTACCCCTTTCTGCTTTGTATTAGACTGATGAAGCCACTGTGTGGCGAAACGTTTCTTCAATAAAGATTCCCATATGTTGCATAAGTGTCTCAATCTTCTTCATTTAGTTCAGTTACTGATGTATTGTGTATCAGGGCTTTTTAAAAACCAGTGCTGGATTGGATTGACGAAGCAACTAGTGACCGAAATATCTGCTCAGTAAATGTATTAATACTGTGTGTGTATCTTGCTTTGTAACTTGGTCATGATTGTGTCCAGATCTACCTGGAGTTCATTATCTTTGTAACTTGTTCATCTATCATAACTTTGGAGTCCAGTCCCTGGACTCATTATGTACCTCTGCAGTCTTGTGACCACCACTCACAGGATGGGCATGGGGTGCATAATAAGATATTAAACTGTGTCTAGGTGAAATTCTCGACACTGCTGATCATCATGTCTCACAAAATCGTAATATGATTGCAAATTAACCATGGAACGGGTGGGGATTGAACTCATGGCAAGTGAGTCGTTAAACTCCAGGCCAGTGCATAAGCCACTGGGCCAGCTGGTTAGATTATTTTCGTGGAAGAGAGCTAAACCCATAGGGATTATACAGCGCCTGTGGGAGGGAGGGAATGATAAGATAAGATAAGATTTCGTTCGGATTTTTAACCCCGGAGGGTTAGCCACCCAGGATAACCCAAGAAAGTCAGTGCGTCATCGAGGACTGTGTAACTTATTTCCATTGGGGTCCTTAATCTTGTCCCCCAGGATGCGACCCACACCAGTCGACTAACACCCAGGTACCTATTTGCTGCTAGGTGAACAGGACAACAGGTGTAAGGAAACTTGTCGAAATGTTTCCACCCGCCGGGAATCGAACCCGGGCCCTCCGTGTGTAAAGCGGGAGCTTTAGCCACCAGGCCACCGGGCATTCTGGCTTAATTCAGGGAATTGGAGCACAGATCCAATTCCCTAGATCAAGAGCCCCTCACCAGCGTCAAGGAACTTCTCTTGTGACGCCAGGTAGCTAGAGATCACCACAGCCACGCTGACGGGAGAGTCATCTGTACAAATTTGCCTTTATGGTCTGTGGTGGCTCATGCTAACCTTCCTATGGTGTATAAATATACTTAGATGTATTTTATTGTAGCCAGCTGGCCCAGTGGCTTACGCACTGGCCTGGAGTTTTACAACTCACTTGCCATCGATTCAAATTTCACCAGTACACAAATAACCCGCATATAGAAGAGAGGAGCTTACGACGATGTTTCGGTCAGACTTGTACCATTTACAAAGTCACACTAACAGAAAGGATGTATGTATGTATGTATAATGTTCGCTAAGACTGGAGTCCTGGTACAGGAGCTAGAGACTGGTCATCTTGCGATGACCCGTCTCTGGCTCGCGAAGGAGAAAGGTTTCTGCAATGTTGCAACGTATGCTGCTCAAGCACTGTCCTGGTCAGTTCATCTGGTGCGTCTCATAAGCGACAACACCATATGTACTCCTAACTCTGGACACTAGCGAGGAGGAGAATATGTCGTTATCACGGGCAACAGCTTGTCTGGTTCGTTGACTCCATGGTACACTAGTGTAGCCGAAGTCCTCTCTGGGTCTTCTTCGGGAGGGGACATCAGTGGTAGTTGCCTGCGGAATGTCTCAGTAGCTTGGCACTGCAGGAGATAGTGTGTTAGGGGGCGCTGGACAACGTGTTGGCACATCTCCTCTGCCTTGTCTACCATCATCTTGGCTGTGAGAAAGCTCAAACGAAGCAGAGGGATGGCGGTACACTGCGCTCTGGACCAGCTTCTATCATATGGAGGGGGTTCTCCCTGAGTCGCTGCTCGGCACCACTGCTGAGATGGGGTATCACCTAGGACCTCCCCCGTAAGTTTCATTGCTCTGGCGGCCACCAGTTTCGTCTGGAGTAGGCTGATGGGAACAGTAATCCCAACATGTGGATAATCTGTGACTGCCTTGGCTGCATCATCTGCCGCCTCATTTCCCAGGATGCCGTCATGGCTGGGGATCCAGTTCAATGTCGATATGTTACCCTGAACTTCTAAGGCTGTCATTATGCTCAGGATCGATGTGATGAGGTGAACATATTCTTGTGGTTGAGGATGGGAGAGGGCATTGATTGCAGAGGTGGAATCAACATGTATGACAGGTCGGAGTCAATGTCATAGGGCATGTGACAATGCTTGCTGAATCGCCACCAGCTCAACTTGAAGGATCGTGCAGTAGTCAGGGAGTCGCCAGCTTTGTGTGTAAGTATGTATGTAAGTTTATTCAGGTATACACAAATACAGTTACATAGAATTATCATACATAGCAATAGACCCCTGGCAGTCTTCAAGCTGTCACTGGACAAGCACCTAAAGTCGGTACCTGACCAGCCGGGCTGTGGCTCGTACGTTGGTTTGCGTGCAGCCAGCAGTAACAGCCTGGTTGATCAGGCTCTGATCCACCAGGAGGCCTGGTCACAGACCGGGCCGCGGGGGCGTTGACCCCCGGAACTCTCTCCAGGTAAACTCCAGGTAAATAGCAGCATATGACCATTGTGGTACAGTCCAGCTGCTGCTCTCTTCCTGTCAGGGTCGACAGAACCATCTCTGAAATACACGGCACATGTGTGTCCCTCTGCCAGTGCCATGCTTGTCCCAGCATGATTGCTGAGGGTGTCTTGACTGCAGAAACACTTAGAGGTAGGTAGTTGCATGATGCAAACATCAGCCGGATCTGGGCGCCAGGGAGGTGGTGGATGATACCCAGCAACAGGGAGGTCACAACTCTTCTCAAGAAGTAGTTGTATAGGCAGCAGCTTCCACCCAGCAGCACAAAACAAACGAATCCAGGAGTAGTCCGTGAAGAGTGTGGGATCTTGTGTCATGGTTGCCAATATCCATCATCTAAGTGGGGTACCTTACTGCCGGTGTAGAATCATGGCTACTTTATAGGCGTTTATGCATCTTACCTCTTCAAGGGGGGCTCCTTGGCGTGGTGAAGAGACTCTTGGTCTGAGGAATTAGACCTGTCGGTCTCCTTCCTCAGACCGAACTTAATTACCCCCCAATCCCCTCTTCCCTATCCCATCCTCCCCTTTTTCCTTTCCTCCTCCCCCCCACCCCTCCCTTTTGCCTTTCCTTCTTTGGCCTTTGGAATTTTCCCACAGGCGTGCTAGTTCCTAGGTAGGGGAAAGGGTACCAGGGTCCATCCCATTCAGTTGAGGTTCTTGGCGGTGGCGTAGTTTGCCGTGGAATCTGGATCACCTGGGGATGTCCCGATCCCTCTCCGGTATCCCGGAGGGTGGCTTTGGGTCTCTCTCGGGTGACGGGTGTATCTCTGGAAGCCACCTTTCAGACTCCGGGGGTGGTGGCCGAAGGAGGTATGCTTTGTGGCAGATATCCGGCTGCCCTCTCTTTTGTCCACCAAGGTAGCTCGGCAGATGTGAGGTTGCTATCCTGGATTGCTGGTTTACTGGCATGAAGGGTAGGGTATGGCACGGGTTCCATGCTGCATCTACGCTACTTGCGGTGCTGAGGTCCTCTTGGGCGCGGAGGGAGATTTCTGGCCCTTTCATTCCTCCTAGGAACTATCCCTCCCCGGTCCCCACTGTTTTTATTCTTTTTTTTTACTTTTCTTTTCTTTTCTTTCTTTTCTTAAAAACGAAAAGAAAGAAGTAACCTAACCATAGAGTACCCAATCCATGACCCTGCTACCCCCAGGCCCCTTATTGTCACCGCACCCCATTCTGACCTCGCCTCGTCTTTTGGCCACTCTTCGAACACTCCTAAGACCCTTGTACCTATTGCTGGTGCTGTTTCATCACCCGCTTCAGGTGCCGGGGTTTCGACTGACTCCTTTGATTTGTCTGGCCTCCACTCTCCTTTGACTATGCTTCCGGCCTCTCCCTCTATGGTGCGGCAATTTTCGAATCACCAGCCCGTCCCACGTCGGACCAACTCTGGTCCCACTTCTAAACACCAATGGCAATCTCCTGAATCTCCTGATGACGTTACTTTGTTACCTTCCCATTCTACTCGGAAAAGACCGACACGTCATGCACTCCCTCTCCACACTCAGTTTTGAACCACACAATGGACTAAATTCTTTACTGTAAGACCGACTTCTACTACCTATCTTTCCGACCATAGTATTGGCAAAGTGCTCCTACGCCATGTTGGTAAAGATATTTCCTTTTATGTTCTTAAGAGTGGTATGTGTATCATCACTGTCCAGAATGCTACCCAAGCTCATGATCTTTCTCTTCTTTCACATATCAATACTATCCCTATCACTATCGAAAAACATCATTCCCTCAATTCTTGTAGTGGTACTGTCATTCTGCCCCATACCATAGTCCAACAGAATTTCCAGACATGCGGCAATAACATTCTCGAATAGCTGGAACTCAAAGATCTCCCAATTCTCAAGGTAGACACTTATGTTCTTCCTGCCCACGGGAGGAGATGATACCCTTGCAATGTGGCTCGTTTAACTTTTGACAGCCGTGAACTCCCATCCTCTGTTTATGTAGTAGGACATCGGTTACAAGTTTGAAAGGTGAT